AAGGGAGTGGAGGAAGAATACGGCACATTTGATCACGTCGAGAGGTTAAGGTATTTAGAGATTAAGCCGACATCGGCAGAAAAGGTTGAGATCGAATTGTTGAGGGAGCTGTTAGCGAGCAAGGTGCCTGGTATCCAGGAGTTTATTTCGGAAGAACGATATCTGATGTTAAAGGGCAAGCTGATGTATAATGCATACGGGATAAAGACGCATAAGTCAGAAGATTCGCATCTCATTAAAGAGGTAATGATTCTAGTAAGATTAGGGTTGAAGTAATTGCTCCGTTTATTGTGTCCAATTTGCTTATTTTACCTTTTGTTTGTTTCCCTCTTCAAACCTGTCCACTTGTCCACCATTCGAACAGAATGCAGGAGAAACGATGCGCGCGGAAGCAACACCAGCAACCGGCGCCGGCTTCTATCGCGTGGCATCTTATCTTACTCATTCATGTGAACCTAATACTGAAATCACTTTTCCAAAAGACAACCATAAACTTTCTTTGGTGGCAATATCTTCGATTAAAGCAGGAGATCAATTGAGAGTAAGCTATATTCCTGTTGGCGACAGGGATGTGAACAATAGAAGAAGTGAGCTGGAAGCTAAGTGGAAATTCAGATGTATGTGCCAAAAATGTGTGTCGGAAGAGTCAGTACCGTCTGAGACTGATGATGAGAGGAATTGGGTCGATGAAGACGTCGAAGGTGAGAGCAGCAATGAAGTCGCTGCGTGAAGAGGAGAGTTAACATGCGAGCTGGTGAAGATAAACCTAATTCGAAATAGAAGTAGAGATATCTTTATGTTATCCCTCATTGTAGATTAAGATTCAATGTAGTCTGTTTCTAAGGACACTTGTTTGTGCTTGTTGGTAATTCTTTTGTCGTTCAATTGATAACGACATAAGGCTTATAACAGGAGATGTTGGGAATGTGTTTTTTTTTTGAATTCGGTTCAATCATTTCTTTCAAGACGATTAATGGACTGACTCGAGTAAAACGCGTCGAAAAGTTCAATTTCGTCGACAAACCAGTTTGCATTCTACATATGCAAAGTATCTTGTAAATTGGCAATATCTGATCGGGTTTAAATCTTCATGTATTTGTTACACAGATGGTAATGAATAAATTAGTGACTAAAGGTAAAGGTTCATCTCATTCATTACCTTCGGGCAGTCTAGGTTTGGGAGT